TGATACTGGAATAGTACAACATAAATAAGGAAAGCTGACGATGAAAAAGCTGAAGTCATCTCGTTTGTCATACAGTTTATTAATTGTTGGGTGGTAATCATCTATAGTCATAAAGTCTTCTATTGTTTATAGTCAACAACACATCCAAATATGAACCAGATATGACAGACTATGGGGTGTCCTTTATTTAGCGTTCAATGGGATAAATCAAGTCGACATTTGAATTTAAGTTACTGTTATTAATTGATTTAACGAAGTCGAGCCGAATGGCATAGTAACATTTTTCTTCTCGTGCAGAAATTATTAATAAAATTAATATAAAACAGATCGGCTATTAAGGGATCAAAATGAAAGTCAGTCGGAATTCCAACAGTTTGTTGGAAGACCTGGTCTCCAAAGACCATATAGATGTTGTGAATGAGGAAATCCAGCCTCCTTTTATTACCAATTTCAGCGTACTTTATTGTAGAATCAGAATGATTTTTTAAAAAGGTGTTTAATCAATCACAAGATATGAACATTTCTGAGTTCAATTAAAAAAAAAATATCATAAAGCCTGGATTTTAATTGATCATGTAGAATGGTTGTATACAGTGTGGCATTTTCATACCTTTTGATGTTACTTTTGCAAAGAAATGTTTTCCATTCTCTAAACATTCCTTGGAGATTATGAGAATACACATTTTCAATGGGCTGAAAGCACACTGTGTCTGATATTTCCTTTACAGCAGTTATTTTTTGTGAGGGGCACAAAAACGGGCTTAATAGACCATTTGCTGGACCCTGCAATGTATCTTTTCTTTGTAATCCAGTATACGTACTGTACGGTATTCATTTTTGTTGACTAGAATGTTAAAAGTACTAAAATAAAAAAAAATGAAGAATTTCATTCTCAGAAAGTGAACTATGAGTATGAGTTGGACTTCAATATTTAGAATTGAGACCTTAATAAGCTTTTAGAAAAGTTCTTATAAAATACATGTGTATTCATGAGCCTTATAAACAAAGACGATACTGGTGCAAGCCTTTCCTGCTGGAACCATAATATATTATTCATTAGCCTTTCCAATTTTTTATCTTCTGATTAATTGAAAAGGGAGAAAATAATGATTCGCAATTACACTTTCAACCTTCTGAACTTTGTAACATGGTTCGTAAATAGATTTCTAAAACAATCTTTTCTGACAAAGTGTCCAGATCTTTCTTTTCCTGTTCCACACATCTGGCATAATATTTGACAGAACGCAAGGTAAAAAAAAATGTTATGTCGCCATTGAAAAATTTGAAGTTCCTGTATTTAAGACCTTTTATAATGCTGACCTCTCCGTCATCATTTTCAACTATATTTATATCGACAGTAATGACGTGTCTATGAATGAAAGAAGAGAGAGAGCAAGAAAACTTAAACTATTTTTTTAATGTTTAATAGCTAAAGACTGCGAAAATTGTTCATGATTGAACAGTGTAAGAAAAAGTTTTGGACATATTTGTAGGAAATGCATGGTGTAGAGTTAAATACCTGAAATAAGGTGGAATGCAAAAACTGGACTTTTTATGGTTAAAATCTTACTAATGTTCAGAGAATCTATTCCTTTAGTGGCAATTTTAAGTTTATGTAACCGATGGTTTGAATCATATTCAAGTACAGGGATCACCCGAGTATAATACAACACTGTAAAGATTCCACTTAAATATGAAATAAAATCTTTTAAAAAACTGAGAGAAGAAGATATGTTATCCCAAAGAAAGAGAAAAGTCAACAAAATAGTTAGTCATATCCTCAGTAATTCATCATAAAGGAGACCTATTTACTTGCCAGAAGAAAGAGCCCCCTCTAACTCCAGAACCTTTAACCCAGGGAACAGGAAGTTCATAATTTGATAGAAGGTTCAATGCTTATTACAATTATGCTAATAGTCTTTGCTTTTTAACGGTGTTTTAAGAGTGTTGTAAAGGGAAACTCAATAGTTGAAAAGAAAGAAGAAATATCAATGAAATGAAAAAACTTTAAAAACATAATCAAAGCAGAGAAGAAAATGGGAAAGCAGACACAGAAAAGAGACAGGAAAAAAGAAAAAATCAATGAAAGAAACAAAATGTGAAAGATCAGGGGCAACCCCCCCCCCCCCCAAAAAAAAAACCGGAGGCAAGGGACCCCCCCCCCCCCGAATTTAGCAATCACATAGAATTGGAACAATTTTTCATTCAAAATGGAAGAGGAGAAATCTATCATAAAGGGGAGTAGTAAGAAATTTTCATTTTTAAATAATGTGAGGCGAGGAAAGCCTTTAAAAATCGAACTTGTCATATTAATGTATGATATCATCAAACCTGTATTTTTTTACCTTGTAAGTACGTACATGTATTTGTTTGTGAGAAAATGTAATAATACATGTACTTAATTATAAACCAAAATTACACCAGTGAACAAATAAGTACCCTTTCTCCTGTGCTGATATGATGATGTGTTTAGTCGTATAATTAAATCGGGTGTTAAAAAAACGATAAATAATAAACAAATACAAAATAAAAAATTGTTTCCTACGTGATTTTACAGTTTTCATTACGTAAGGATAGCAAATAAATTTCATGCTCAAAAAAGGAAGTGGACTTTTTGAGCGAAAAATATCTTTATTGTGCCAATCAAAATTTGTTTCCTTCAAAGAGCTAGGTTCCCTCTATGCATAAAATTGTCCTTTAGATTTACCAGCTTATTGAATAATATATAAATGGTGCCTATTATGGAGGGTAACAGTTGAAATTGGTACCCCAAGAAATACCTTAGTCAACCGATGTGTCAGCAAAGCTTCTGTTTTTCTGAATTAGAAAGCTTCAAAAAAGATTTACCGGCCTTTTTATTGTTTGTCTGAAACCCACAGAGTCCTTTATCATAGAGTTTTATTATTTCTACACTAGGAAGAATTTTTTGCTTTTTAAATTTTAAATTTATGTTTTAAATCAAGCTACATCGAACGCAAGCTTCGATTGACGTCAAGTTTATTCGGCTTCTTTCAAATGCACAACTAACTTTTTGAGAATTATACCGCGAACCGTACACTCAGAATGACACGCATGTGACATTATCGTTGTGTTACCCGTTGTTAAAATCTGTGTCGCTAATGCTTATGGAAACATTACGAGTTGTTAAATGAGACTACACCAATCAGATTTAGTATTAAACATGAAAGTATAAAAACAGCCTATGTCTCATTTCAAACATTAATGTAAAGTAGACATTTAGTGCTTGCATTTTCTACAACAAAGTTTCCTGTTAGAGTCCAGTTATTGGTTTGTTTGTTTAACGTCACCTCGAGAATTTTTCTCTCATATTGAGACGACACCACTTACTGGTAGAGGGCTGAAAATTTAGACCTTTACTCGGCCCTTACAACCATTGAGCAGTGAATGATCTTTTTTGTACCAGCACCTACTGTTAATACTTTTTATCCGAAGGACCGGTCTCCACGTCTCGTGGGCGAATCCGCGACGTAAGGATCAACACTCAACGCAAAGCACTGTGCCACGCAGGCGACTTCAGGTATTGGAAAAAGGACTTTGTGAAATTAGGATATTTTTGAATTTTTAAGAACACAAGTGTATTTGAGTACCTTCAACAAGGAATTAAAACATGAGCACATCCATTGATCCAAATAAAGACTTTAACATGTTTTATAATTTCTAGAAATATATCATTATAAACGCTGTAATTGCACATTTTGGATCAGAGGTTGTGCTCTATATGAAATATTGAAAAGCATGATAAACGTTTGGACATTTTTGAAGAATTTTTAAGGATATGGGAAAATAAAACAATTCAAGACGTCATAAGGCAGTGATAAGCGAGAAAATTAATTCATTTTTAAAAGATATGCAGTCACAAATTTGAAGCATTGTCATCTAAGATTGAGAAGTTTGGAATTTTTTTTTTTAGAAATTCACAAGGCCAAAAGAGGCCCTTGGTAAACCATGTTCTTTATAGGATAATCAAATCTCCTAAAATATCTGCGAGTATTGATGACAAAAAGATGGAAGATAATAAAAGTATTAACGTAAGTGGAAGACCAATTAGCTACAAACAATCGTCATTTCATTTCTGAATTTTTTAAAACAAATCATTTTCTAGTTTGTATAAGTACAAAGTAATATGCTTAGTATGATGTGAGTGCGCTCGACTTCACTGTCAGAAACCGTGAGGCAAATAAGTAATGTTTTACAATTACAATCTGTCCTAGTGCCTAAATTAAAATTTTAACGCCCATGCCCAGACGTGTATCAAAAACTAGCTCTGTTTTTTTTTAATCTGTTTTGTTTTCTTGGTTTTTATTTTTTGTTTGTTTGTTTGTTTGTTTTCTGTCCTCTCGTGTGCCTTGAAAATATAAATCTGTTCACAAGTTAGTGAGAAAATCTCTTGAAATAGTACACAGAACCCTAATGCCGAATCCAACAGTACATTCATGTATTTTTCCAATTGAATAACAAAAAGTCTGCAGTAGGAGTGTGAGGATCGACCTGCCTCTGTATCTTTCTTTAAAAGTTAGGCTTTCTCCATTACAAGTGTACCCCTTACACAGATGTCCAATAACACATGTATCATAATATTGATTGATTGATTGTAGATTGTTTTACATCCCGTTCGAGAATTTTTACAAAATATTGGAGACCAGATATGTCAAAGGTACTACATGTAAATCATATACAGTACCAATTTTGATGCACCAGATGCGCATTTGACAAATTAAGACTCTTCAGTGATGCTCATGCCGAAACTTTGGAAATCCAAAATATCAAATAAAAGACCTTGAAGAGCTGAAACAAGTTGAATTTAGCTAATTTATTTTAATAAAAATTGTGAAGCCAATAGTTTCATGTGGTTGTCTACGGTTTATTCCGTTTATCTATATCAACAATAAGTATTATTTCTTTAATCTTAGATTCAATCCTTTCTTCTTTGATATTTGTAATTGAACTTTATATTTTTATGTGATGTTTGTCCTTGAGGTTTACACCCTGTTTTCTATGAGATTGCTCTCCACATCACCCGTCAGCTGTTGAGAAACGATCCTAAATTCTCTCATATTACTCCACGGTTCATAAGACATATGTTTATACATTTCAGTGGGTAATTGGTATCTCTTATGGCGAATGAAAATCCGCACTACAGCAAATAGAATTAAAATAATACCAAATCCAGCAAGAATAAGGGAGTATGGAACCCCGATGAAATAGGAACTTTTATCGAGTAATGATGGCATAATGATTGTTTCGAGTCTTGATAGGAAAGCGGCGTGGGCAGCGTTAGTAGCCAAAAACCGAACAAGAACGGCAAACTCGGATGTAACTGAAAAAGAAAAGATTTAAATATATCACAGAATGTCAACATTCAAATTTAAGTTATTTCTAGAGATGACAGCAGGCTAGCCTAATCAAAGAAAATATCTGCATCTATTGACTAAGTTCTGTAAATTTTTTATTTTTCCGATCCTAAAGATTCGCAAATATATCAGTGATAAATAGTTCGGTGTGACATGAACTTAAAATGTTACAAAATACAAAAAGTCGAAGTCATCGATGATATTATACAACTGTAATATGATTTTGCAGATTTGGACTGATTTTAGAGTTGGAAAACTTAAGCAGTAAGTCAAAGATTTGTTACCTGCCACAAGAAGAAATATACCGCCAGTCAAAAACATAGGTGGAAATGGCGCTTTTTTCATGGAATTCGACAACAGAATCAACCAACCGAATCCACCAAGAACAACAGCAAGTATGCACTCCAACTGTACATCTATCATAGCTGAAGAAAAATGATTGTTTCAATAATTTATTGTCTGTTTTTCTCTCATGAAGATTTTTATCAATTAAATATTATATTTACTTAGTTCGGAAATTACCATGTACCATTTGCAAATTACCAATTATCATTTTATAGAGACAACAATGCACTCCTGCTTGACATTTTAGACACACACACACACACACACACACACACACACACACACACACAGAGAGAGAGAAAGAGAGAGAGATTTACAGAGCTGTTCCGTTCCATGGGTATCGTTTTCCTCATCATAAGCTAGATAAGACTTTGTTGACCATGAATCAGATTCAGACTTCTTTTGGCTAAAATAAAAGATGCTTGATTTTCTGTCCTACAATAGAATATTTATAAAAGGGTATATATATATATGTTTGTAGCTCCTCATCTCTGCAATACATAGAGGTGAATTCACTTTATATTAATTTTCCAATGTATTAAAATAAGATGGAAATCTTCATTTTAATCGTTTGAAAATGGATATGAATTACCTGATCAATAAGAAATCCAGGTGTTATCATGGCAGCGACACAGAACGCCAAGCCTAAGGCAGACGAAAGTAAATCAATAACTAGATCCTTGCTTGGAGCCATTCTTCACCTTTAAAATATCTAAAATTAAAGACTAGATTATTTAAGGTAGAGACATCTTATTTCTAAACCCTTATAAGATAGACTGTCTGCTACTTCTACAAAAATAGGTATGCTAATAAGAGGGCGCGACTAGTACCCATGAGAATTCCAATAGATTGTTTGGAAGACCTGATCTCTGAAAACTACAAAAAAGCAGCTGTCTATGATGTCATAAAACCAATTTATCGGTGGGAATAGTTGTATAAAGTGATGAAAAGTGGTACGTTTTGATGTTACTGATTTTGATAACATTTTGTATTTTCGAATTTTCTAAAGGTTCCTTTGAGTTTTTAAGTATCTACATCAGATTTACACCATTTTGAATATACTATCATACAGTACTTCCGAAGTTTCTCATTCACTGCTGTAAATATTTTAGTGAGAAGTAAAGAAAGAGGCTTGGTAGAGCATTTACTGGAACCTGGTATTTATCTTTCTTTTTAAGGATTTTTATGGAGTTTTGGAATCCAGTATATGTATGGTAATTCAAATTCATTTTGATTGTTGCGAATATCAAAAAGAATTAAAACTGACATACATGTATAGTTTTAAAAAAATCCCTTCTTAAAAAGGGAGCTATCGGTATAAGTTGTATCACAACCCACAGAATTTAATCCTGGTTCCTCTAAAATACACTTTAAATAACGAGACTTAAAAAGACAATGTTGTTACCTGCTTTATCGGCAGATACAAGTGATGAGGATATTTTTTTACCACGATAAACTTTTGATTTGCTGGAATGGTTTTTGTTCATATTTTAAAAAAAAAAATCTTTATTGCATGGTCTTCTATTATTTGAAATAATACATGGTCTTTCCTATACATATTAATTGCAAAACGATATTTAAAAACACATAAAATCTTGACTTTGTGAAAATATTGCAAGAAAAAAAGTTTTTCACACAAATACAAATTAAATTTAGTCCGAATTTCATCTGCATTACCATATATTTACTTTTGTTTTTGCATATTTTCTTCAAATAAGAAAATATTAAATTTTTAAATTGATATTGAGTTCTAACTTTGTTGTTTTGTCCATTTAGAAAAAAAAATTTGATTTAGCCTATTGTACTTCATAGTATTCCGTTTCGTAATCTGAAACCCTCTGTAAACGTCATCCTTAAAAAGATTGCTATTCCGCTTCAATGAACTTAAAAGCTCCGTATATTACCACTGTGATTGCATACATTTTCTTCTCTACTTATAAAGTTTGGATGTGTTAGGGAGTTTTTTAAACTCAAGATAAACTGAAATATCTCTTTTTTGTCGCCATTACAAACAAAACTGAATGTTTCCTAGAACTATATTTGTAAAGCATTTGAAATGAAAAAATAGTTACAATATTATTAATAATAAAACCACATAAATACCTGTACTCCTCTACGGGTATTTCGGTGTGTCAGTCCGGTGATTTAAACTTTTGTTAAAAAAGTAGACCCCTCCATTAATAGCTCACCCGATATGACGGTTTATAAACAATAGTAACAAACACATTGATATTTTTACCTGAGTAGATCGCAGGTTTACAGGGGGTTCAGGGATTCTTGACCTTTGCCTTTTCAGCATTTCGATTATTAGTATAATGTGACACTAGGCAAATTGGCGCGCGATTCTCTTCGCAGAGCATAGGTCCTTAAATAACGAACCTATATGGTTTTCACAACATAGCAAATATCAACTGCTACTATCTTGACCTTCAATGTTTTTGAGTTGGAATCGAAAGGATTATTTTTCCGGGCACCAAGCATATTTGTAGACATTGATTTGTTTGTTTGTTGTTTAACGTCCATCTCGAGTATTTTTCACTCATATGGAGGCGACACCACTTGCCGGTCGAGAGCTGCAAATTTATTCATATGCTCGGCACTGAGGGCCATTGAGTAGTGAGGGATCTTTTTCGTTCCAACACCGACTGCGACACGGGACCTCAGTTTATACGGTCTCATCCGAAAGACCGGTCTCCACGTCCCGCAGTGGATTCGAACCTGCGACGTAAGGATCAGCTCCTTACTCCTCGACTCTAGAGCAGACACTTTAACCACTGCGCCACAAGGGCGACTGTAGACATTGAAAGTTAAGTTATATTTAATTTTCCAAATTGTGTCCAAAACATACTTATAGACAGTCTTTAACCTTTACCTTTCGAATCTGGGATCAATGTGCTTCTTAGTCTAAAAGGCCTAGGGATACCCTGAACTTGTGATCACACCCTAGTTTCACTATCACTCATAATGCCTGTTTTTGACATTTTGTTTCCCAAATCTGCATGTTTCCATTAGCATCAAACACCTCCGTAACAAGTTTGAAACATATAGACAAAGTATTTTACAAATGATGAACACGAGAATTCTATTAAACCCACAGTAAATTTACCTTGATCTTTGATTCTTAAAAAAATTACGAACTCTTCATTCCTTTGTCAGCCCCACCTCTTTTATAGGTTTGGCATTGTAAGATTAAATGCTATGCTGTATATCGTGTTAACTAAACTAAACTCGTAGAAACTTTGTCCTTTTTGCCTGCAAATTCATGTGTGTTTCTTTGGTCATTCTCAACTCTATAGCAAGTTTTAGACAATATTTCATGTCTAGCAGACGATACATTTATAATCAGAATATACAAATTAGGGACAGTTACTAGTATGAAGATGAGCCACACATTGCTCAGTCCGGTCTTGAATATCTCTTGCAACTAGGGGTATTATAGACTATGAAAATTGAAAAAGTCTCATTGTAAAAATAGTCTTTTCAGGCGAGCATTAGAAGTTTGCCTGTTTTACCAGCTTAATCGATTTCCTGTTTTCTGTGGAATTTTGAATAATGTGGGAGTTAAAAAAAAAGGATTTTTACTTCCTTATGGTTCCGCTCCAAATCAAGAACCTCGCCAATACTATTTAAACATATTTTTAAAATAGTTTTAAAGCGCCAGTGTAGTGTGATTGTCCGATAACCAATGTCTGACAACTAAACAGGGTCATACAGCCTTCAGTGAAATCCAGTCTGCTTGTCTCAATTCAATAATCCACAAAGATTATTTTAGCATATGTTTTAATTCATGTGAAAAACTGGGAGAAAAAATATCCAATTCATTTATCTATTTTGCTAGATATATTAAAATTTTCTGTTGAAATGTATTGTCTAGCCTTGTTCCTGAAGATATTATTTCAAGTGATTTGATTAAAACTTTGCACCGACATTTTTAGCACGTATACATTTTTATGAAAAGTTCTATTGACCCTCAATTGTAATCTAATTAGTTAGGTTCTGCTTTGAAAAAATTCGATTCAACACAAAAGCACTTACATGTAACATTGTAACATATCTACCTTCATATCACGGGGTTTTGCAAAATCTTTTATTAATTACTTCTCTTAAGATAATAGTATATTTTTCGTAGAAATATTTTTAGTGAAATTTACTTTAAAAAGTAAAAATTTCGTTCCTTTAGAAGTTTGTGATTAAACACAAAGTTAAAATGTGCAATGACACTTACTTATTTTTTCTTCATTTTCATCTAAAATATCTATACCAAATAAATGCTCTCTAAGATCAAGAATTTACATATGTTTTGTGAAGTAAAAGTAATTAGAAACTGGTCCCACCGAAATAATTAAACAGTTTTTCATAGGAATACTAGTATTCCAAAACTTATTTTTAATTTTGCTGTTAAATATTCGGAAATGTGTTTTCTGCTGTTGACATTATTTGATATATCAGACTTTAGACATTGTTGTCTGGATGCTAATGTACTAGATGATTTCCTCATTAAGAAGTTTGGATATTTAAATCTGTTTCTAAAGGAGAGAAAATGATATCTATAGCCCATACTAGATGATTTCATTATTAACTAGTCTGGGCATTTGAATCTGTTTCTTAAGGAGAAAATAATATCTATAGCCCGCGTCTGGAAAAGCACACGCAGATACAAAGGCCTCTTTCTGAAATGTTCTTCTGAACGAATACACCCCTGCTAATATTTTAATTGTTTAGTTTCGGTAAAGAATAACTTTACATATTGAAGTCCATTTTCATAAAAAAATAATTGAATAAATAATAATTTGAAATTTTATTTATGTTTTTATATTCATAGTGATAATTTGTAGAATTTTCTTGCTCCTCTTTTTGCACGAATAATAACTTTTTTGCAATTAGCCATGTTATTAGCCTTTTTTTCATACATCCTATTTTAGATATTGAACAATGTTTTCACTAGTTTTTTTCACCTATTTTTTAATTCATAAGTTGTTAGGCTATTCCTACTTTTTTTTTCTCTGTTTAGCGTCTACCAATTTTTCAAAAACCTACCTACCTATTCGCAAAAAACGCACAAGTCAAAAAAATTAAAATAAAACACCGACTTTATAGTGATAAAATGACGTCACTGAGAGGGTTTGAGAGAAATCGTTTGATTTTTTTTAAAAAATTTATATAACTACAAATTTTGAAACTGCAATTCAAGTATTCCCTTGTAGTAAAGGTCATTTGAAGCATTGATCTTAAGCAATGATGATATGTTCCAAATTTCACATAGGGATATACTTAAAAAACATTGTAAATATATGTGCATTTGGATAAACACGAAAACAATCGTTTAGATTTATACTAGCATCTCCAAGACCATTTGTTAAGATAAATGCTCATTTGAGGAAAACGGTGTCACAATACAGATGTAATATGTTGAATGAAAAATAAAAAAAAAATCATTGATGAACGAGAGAATGTAAGTAATAATAACATTCCAGTGTCCTGGTGTAGTGTATGTTTATGTTTGTTGATATGATTGTCATTATCGCTCAGATATTCCATGAAATATACCGGTAAGAACTTTTGTGAAAGATCAAAATCGCTGTTGCATGTCCAATATTTGCATGGATCTTAGTACAGGGAAGAGTCAAGTGCTTTATATTATATGATTAAAACCAAAAGTCTCTAACACATTTAAGTGATGAAATAACTTGAGTTCTTTTCCGTCTTCAGTTAAGTCTCATGCATATTTTCACATCGTGAAGAGAGAATAAATAACAGAATTCTTGATTTGTCAACAATGCACTCTTGCTCTCAGCTGAACATTTCAGTGCCATGCAGATACATGCACATTAAAATACTTTGTATCAGGCTCGTTGTGTTTCTCCACTAATTATTGTGTTTTTCTTTCTGTCTTAAATCATATTGTACTCATTACAATGGATGCAATATCCACAAGACCCTTGGATAGCACATGATGGACTTCATTTTTTACTTCAGTGATTTACAAAGAAAGAAAATTTCCAAGATATCAGAATACCTTCTATGATACTAATGTGGTAAGCCTTCAAATCTTACAGTTTTGTCAGTATGAATTTAAATAAACAATTCCATGTTTAAAAAAACGCGTTCTCTATACATTAAGTAATAAAAGGCTAACCAGCAACATTCCTCTCTATAAAACAAAAACATACGATGAACATTAAAGAACATTTGTAAGTTTTCCCCACTTTCTTATACATACGTTACAAATACAAAAAAAAAAAAAAAAAAAAAAAAAAAACAAAAAAACAAAAAAAAAAAACAAAAAACAAAAAACAAAAAAAAACAGAAGACAGACGATTCACCTGTATATTAGGGTTAAGTACCATGGTGCATTTTTAAAATATATAACCTTTGACTTCATTGCCATTCATTCCGAGCAAGAACTGCAGAATATAGACATATAGCAAGGGACGATTCA